TGTGACGTCATCTGGGGTAGGATATTAATAAAGCACACACAAAAATTGACATAGAAGACTGTCATCTTACATGAATCGTTTGTGTTCGTGTGATTTTGTTTGATTTGTGTATGTGCTGATGAAGGCTCTATAGCCAGAACGTTCACTTTTCATTTATGTTTGTTATATTGCGAAGCTCGCTGATCTACTTTTCGTTCGAATTTATATATTTCCAAAATAGATGAATCATAACCTCATCACTGAAAATATTTGCTGTACAGAAATAATACAAAACACAGTGCACAGACTTTTCGATACAATTTAATTGGTAAATAACTTTGGCTTTGTATCTCTCTCTCCCTCTCTCCCACTCTCTTTCACATACCTTACCAGCTCGCATGGGCGATCATGCCTTTCCGAAATATGTGATCTTCAACAGCATAAATCAGTTCATATACTGACACCTTTTCATGCCATGACATATGACTGTCAAGAATCGTCTACCTTTCTACGTGACTTTCTGTGTAGTTTGTGTGTGTCTATTTCGTGTGTTGTTTTAGTCGATGATAAAGACTTCGGTCAAAAAGATTCAAATTTGTGTATCGTTTCCTTTTCCTTCACTGAGTTTGTAGCAAAATCCGTTTGTGTGCTTACGTGCGTGCGCGCGCGTGCGTGCTTGTGCGTGTTAGTTTACTTGTGACGTCAGCTTCATTTCAGTCACGCCTACTTCCGACATTCTTCTTCTTCAACCTTTTAATCCCCCTATGGAGCATAGGCCCTCAACCAACTCACACCAAGTCGTTATATCCTTCGCTATTACGTGGAGCTCTCCCCATCTTTCTAACTTCATTCTCCAGCTCTCTTCTCCGTGTGTGTATTTTTGTGTGTGTGTGTGGCCTTCCTTTATTCATGTGCCCCTGTTGGTTGCAAAGCAAAGATATTCTAGTTATGCTGTTCTCCTGTTTTCTCAATGTGTGTCCTATCCAATGCCAGCGTCTTTTCCTCACCTCTTAGTCTACTGGAGCTTTCGACATCACAGTAGCTGCATTTTTTTTAAATGTGTATTTTAGTTCTGTTTTCATGAAACAAAAAAATGTTGGCACTTGTCTTTTCAGACGGTCATTTTATATTATGGTATAGGAAGACCATGGGGAAACAGCCGGTGTCGATGACAGTTAAAGCCCGGGTTGAAATATGTCCACTTCATAGTTTAAAACCTGGACAGTACAGTAGAGATCGCACGTTTCCTATGCAGAATGATTCCTCCTGTCTGAGCCTGCTTTGTTCACCCTAAAGAAAATGTAACACCAAAACAAAAATACAGAAGCACAAAATTACGACGATCACAATTTAGGAAAGATATAACAGGAAGGCAATAACAAATTAAATTATAGCTGGGGAAAGAGAAAAACACAAAATTGTGTTGGTTATATATACATATATATATACACACACACATACATACATTTGTGGAAGTTGCCGTGGCATAGCGGCTAGACGCAGATCGGAAGTTCGTGGGTTCGCTCCCTGGCAGAGCCGGACTTTTTTCAAAAATAACCTTGACTCCAAGGTGGACCCAGCCTTTAGGGGGTACCGGGTGCAGTCCCGGGAAGTAAAGGCGGCCGACGTGATGCCGACAACGTCACCCATCTTGTGCAGAAAGGTCTATAAAAATATAGGTTTAGCCTTATATGCCTAAAAGCGTGGAAAAGGGGCCTTTTACTTTTTTTTACTTATAAAAATCTGTGTGTGTGTGGTTATGTTTAATGACCGTAGACTATTTTGAAATTAATTATTTTGCACCGCAGTTACATAAGTATATTACCGCATGTTTCAAGCACCATGTAACCGTTCGTTTAGAATATCACTGCTGTATACCGGTGTCTTAGTAACTGTTATTAGCTATAATGATGTTTTCGGAAGAGAGACAGTTTTTAGTTGAGCATGTGTTCCTTAACGGTGACAGGCATTCAGATATGGTTGTTCAACAATTTATGATCCTATTTCCCGATACTGAAGTATCCTATTTCCCGATACTAAAGTATCCTATTTCCCGATACTGAAGTATCCTATTTCCCGATACTAAAGTATCCTATTTCCCGATACTGTATCCTATTTCCCCATACTGAAGTATCCTATTTCCCGATACTGAAGTATCCTATTTCCCGATACTCAAGTATCCTATTTCCCGATACTGATGTATCCTATTTCCCGATACTGAAGTATCCTATTTCCCGATACTGAAGTATCCTATTTCCCGATACTGAAGTATCCTATTTCCCGATACTCAAGTATCCTATTTCCCGATACTGAAGTATCCTATTTCCCGATACTGAAGTATCCTATTTCCCGATACTGAAGTATCCTATTTCCCGATACTGAAGTATCCTATTTCCCGATACTGAAGTATCCTATTTCCCGATACTCAAGTATCCTATTTCCCGATACTGAAGTATCCTATTTTCCGATACTGAAGTATCCTATTTCCCGATACTGAAGTATCCTATTTCCCGATACTGAAGTATCATATTTCCCGATACTGAAGTATCCTATTTCCCGATACTGAAGTATCCTATTTCCCGATACTGAAGTATCCTATTTCCCGATACTCAAGTGCCTTATTCTAACACTGTCAGCAATTTAACCAGTATAATCAACTGTATATAAAGTTGTGGGAAAAAAAGGGGGGGGGGGAATTACCCAAAATAAGACATCGCATAGCAGAATATGTTGCATTGACTCCACAGATGGGGATAATAAAAATAGGAACGGGAATATTTTAAGAAAATAGACACACCAAAAAAACCACATACACACACACGCGCGCGCATACACACAGGACCATGTTGTGCTATAGTACAAATATAGAAGCAGCGCAATCAACAACAATTTGAACGTTTGATCTGACAGCGCGAAGCTATAATTTTTTTCTTTTTTGTTCGTAATGTACTGCACGCCGACGTAATGCTGACCCCATCAGACACAACGTGCTGGTCCCAGCTAGGAGCGGCTATATGACGATGATGATGATTAAAAAGATGAGGACAAAAGGAAAAGTCTCAAGCAGTATTTTTAAGAACTTGGAGAAGATATCCACATTAAAAAAAAGTGTCGTCATCATCATCATCATCATCATCATCATCATCATCATCATCATCATCATCATAAACCACTTCTGCGGTTAAGCACCGTGGAGAGAAATAATTTGCGATGCAGTGCACGTTGGCTGCCACTGTCTAGTGTGGTTTTGTTAGACCCATGGTTTTGGAGTCCTAAAAGCGCTGGCGTGCTGAAATATACAACACGCGATATCAATTGCATTGCGGGACACCCCCATAGCCTTTTGTAAAGGGGCTTAGGAACTACTAATCAGAAGTAAGCTAGTGTGTATATGAGTGGGGTCTGCAGAGAGTAACGTCGAACTAACCGACACGTAAAAAAAAAAAATCACAATCAAATGTTATTATAAACATTTGAGGAGCGGCATTTATAAACCTGGCATCATACAGAGAAAATCTTCCGCATGACCCTACACACACACACATACACGCAGCGCGCGCGCGCGCGCGCACACACACACACACACACATAAATGTATGTGTGTAAAATGGTTGGGGGGGGGGGGGCTGAACCCTTGGGGCTCAGAAAAGTTAAGTACCCCCATCCACCCCTTCCTCCTCTAATAACTTATAAGGGATGGGCAGACTCTGCCTTTTAATCCTTATCCCTAGAACATTTGCAAGCAGAGAAAGTGGCGTTCGTGAACAATATTTGATTTTCTGTTCAAAAAAAAATATACATTAAAAATTTTTTTTTTTTTTTTTCAATTACAATGTATGTTTATCTGTGGTATATTATTTTGTATGTACATTATATCGGTTTCCGGGTACCCAGTGTGCCGTGGGGTAAAGGGACAACACTAGACCCAATTCTCACCTACCAAGCATGTCGTGAAAGTATACTATTTAGTGGGGTTTCCTGCAAAGCCTGAAAGGCAAGGAACCAACAGTCTGCATGCATATAAGTCAGATATGTAAAATAGATATTATGCAACATCGAAGTTCTGGAAGAATGCCAGAAGTGGACGAAAAAGTAGAACTTTCCGCACAAGTTTACAGTCGATGACCGAAAAAAAAGTTACCAAAAATTACATTTCATATTTTCTTAGTGCATTGTTATATTCATTTGCTATTAAGCGTATAATTATTATCATTGTTATTGCACATTTAAACAAGGCTTAGTTTCTCAATAAACCTCATCCTACTCCTTAGAAAAGTCATAAAAGGGCTTTCGGCCGGGACAAGACCGTCTCCATCTGACGGGCCATGCTGCTGACGTCAACAAACCGGGCTAACGTTACGTTAATCGTCAGCTTGGTTTGGTGACGTCAGCAGCCTGGCCCGTCAGATGGAGACGGTCTTGGTCGGCCGCACTGTTTTGTGTGTGTTCAAGTCTAGGTGTGCAAAGCTAGTCCTTACGCTAATCTGCTTACGCCTAGTGACCATTGAAGTTCTATTCCTGTGAGAGGTTGTCGTAGGGGCCCCAGCACACTAGTTTGCCCAGAGGCCCGTAATGCTGTTAAGGCGGCTGTAGAAAAGGGGTATTAATATCTTTTGAGTGTTGCTGAAAGGGGGGGGGGGGGTTGGGGTGAGGGACACTAGCCTCTTCTAGGTACTTAGTTAGTTACGTCCACCGCCACCATAACCACGCAGCGAGCGGCACACCCGGGTACAAGTCGCAGAAACCCCGTTCAACCGTTAGATTATATTAAGGCCCCCGACTTTAGCCAGGGTGGGGCTTTTTAAAATAACAATCTGCTTCCCATACGTTTTAAATGCTTAGGACACAAAAGAGTCTTAATCTGGCCCTGTGCAGAATTTTTGGTATGAATAGCTGTGCTCGCGTGTTCTTTTTCCTCCATTTATCCGCCTAGTTGTGTTATTCGATTTAGAAACAGTTTATTTTTTTTTTAACGAAAAAATGATGCAATGTTCGAACGCATACACTGCAAATTAACAGCTCTAGGCTTGAAGTGCTGCCTTGACAGCAGCCTCTGACTTTTTATGTTTCTTGACACGTTCATCCAAGTTCCGTCCCCTGGTGACCAGGAGGAAGATTAGCTCCAACATCTCGGCAACTGAGACCAAACTAAAGCCCATGAACAGTCCAATCTGGCCTCCAATGTTTCCTGTTGAAAGTAAGAAAAGAACATATCAGCTGTTAATATCTAAGTTTCTGTATGACTTTCAGTTTCAAAAGATACAGAATACATTTTAAAAGGTTTCTTTTTTTTTAATCCAAAGTTTTGTACCATTGACAGTTTCAAAAGATACAGTAAGAGTCACAATAAAAACAAACACTACAAACATTCACACCAAGAAACATCCAGCAGTATGCGCTCTGAATAGGTAGAAAACATTCGAAAATCGCACTTAACCTTCCTCACCTGGATCTACACAGCTGGTCATGTTTGGTAATGAGCGAGCGGACCACCTGGCAAGCAATGCACCAAAGCACGTGGGAAGAAGCATGTACGCAGCAGACAATAGCAACATTGTACGAACTGGGCTAGTGGATAATGACCAATGTCTATCCAAGGCTGAGATAGGGGAAATTCTAACCAACATCTCATTGGAACAATTAGAAGAGGTACCTTGCAGTGGCTGCTGCATCGGTGGATTGATGATACATATGAATGGCCAATGTGCAGTGACGTCACTTGTGATAACATAATTTAAGAGACACCACACAGAAGTGAGGAAGTATAAAAGAAACTGTTATATTTTCCTTCATATGTAGGCTGTAGGCTTCTTCGCCTTTCTTCTTCTTCTTCTTCTTCTTCTTCTTCTTCTTCTTCTTCTTCTTCTTCTTCTTCTTCTTCTTCTTCTTCTTCTTCTACATCTTCTTCTTCTTCTTCTTCTTCTTCTTCTTCTTCTTCTTCTTCTTCTTCTTCTCTTCTTCTTCTTCTTCGTCAGTCGTCTTTAGTCTTCGTCTTCGTCTTCTTCTTCTTCTTCTTCTTCTTCTTCTTCTTCTTCTTCTTCTTCTTCTTCTTCTTCTTCTTCTTCTTCTTCTTCTTCTTCTTCTTCTTCTTCTTCTTCTTCTTCTTCTTCTTCTTCTTCTTCTTCTTCTTCTTCTTCTTCTTCTTCTTCTTCTTCTTCTTCTTTCTTCTTCTTCTTCTTCTTCTTCTTCTTCTTCTCTTCTTCTTCTTCTTCTTCTTTCTTCTTCTTCTTCTTCTTCTTCTTCTTCTTCTTTCTTCTTCTTCTTCTTCTTCTTCTTCTTCTTCTTCTTCTTTTCTTCTTCTTCTTCTTCTTCTTCTTCTTTCTTCTTCTTCTTCTTCTTCTTCTTCTTCTTCTTCTTTCTTCTCTTCTTCTTCTTCTTCTTCTTCTTCTTCTTCTTCTTCTCTTCTTCTTCTGTCTTCGTCTTCTTCATCTTCTTCTTCTTCTTCTTCTTCTTCTTCTTCTTCTTCTTCTTCTTCTTCTTCTTCTTTTTTTTCTTCTTTTCTTTTTCTTCTGCTTCTTCTTCTTCTTCTTCTTCTTCTTCTTCTTCTTCTTCTTCTTCTTCTTCTCTTCTTCTTCTTCTTCTTCTTCTTCTTCTTTCTTCTTTTCTTCTTTTCTTCTTTCTTCTTCTTCTTCTTCTTCTTCTTCTTCTTCTTCTTCTTTTCTTCTTCTTCTTCTTCTTCTTTTTCTTCTTCTTCTTCTTCTTCTTCTTCTTCTTATTCTTCTTCTTCTTCTTCTTCTTCTTCTTCTTCTTCTTCTTCTCTTCTTCTTCTTCTTCTTCTTCTTCTTCTTCTTCTTCTTCTTCTTCTTCTTCTTCTTCTTCTTCTTCTTCTTCTTCTTCTTTTTCTTTTTCTTCTTCTTTCTTCTTCTTCTTCTTCTTCTTCTTCTTCTTCTTCTTCTTCTTCTTCTTCTTCTTCTTCTTCTTCTTCTTCTTCTTCTTCTTCTTCTTCTTCTTCTTCTTCTTCTTCTTCTTCTTCTTCTTCTTTTTCTTTTTCTTCTTCTTCTTTTTTTTTCTTCTTTTTTTTTCTTCTTCTTCTTCTTCTTCTTCTTCTTCTTCTTCTTCTTCTTCTTCTTCTTCTTCTTCTTCTTCTTCTTCTTCTTCTTCTTCTTCTTCTTCTTCTTCTTCTTCTTCTTCTTCTTCTTCTTTTTCTTCTTCTTCTTCTTCTTCTTCTTCTTCTTCTCTTCTTCTTCTTCTTCTTCTTCTTCTTCTTCTTCTTCTTCTTACCTTCTTCTTCTTCTTCTTCTTCTCTTCTTCTTCTTCTTCTTCTTCTTCTTCTTCTTCTTCTTCTTCTTCTTTCTTCTTCTTCTTCTTCTTGATTCTTCTTCTTCTTCTTCTTTTTTCTTCTTCTTCTTCTTCTTCTTTTTCTTCTTCTTCTTCTTCTTCTTCTTCTTCTTCTTCTTCTTCTTCTTCTTCTTCTTCTTCTTCTTCTTCTTCTTCTTCTTCTTCTTTATCTTCTTCTTCTTCTTCTTCTTCTTCTTCTTCTTCTTCTTCTTCTTCTTCTTCTTCTTCTTCTTCTTCTTCTTCTTCTTCTTCTTCTTTTTCTTCTTCTTCTTCTTTAGCATTCCGAGCCCTTGAGGCTCCTTGCTGCAGATATCATCTGCCTCACTCATCTCTCTGGTTGGCATGCTCTTTCCAGTTAGGGATAACAAGTATTTGCATGTCTGTTTAGACATTATCTCTCCATCGTCATCTTGATCTGCCTCATGGTCTAGGACCATTCACTACCTTGTCTATTATCTTTTTACCTATCTGTCATCTGACTTTCTCTTAATATACCCCAGCCATTTCAGTCTATTAGATCTCATGATGCCAGTGATCAGTGGTGATTTACACAGAATATCACTTTCGTGATTGCTTGTCACTCTCCATTCCCTGCTGCTTGTATCTTTGATGGGTCCACAGATTCGTCTTAAAACTCTGTTTTCGCTAATTTGTAATAAAGCTTCATCTCTTTAAGTTGTGATTCAGGTTTCAGAACCATATAAAACAACTGGTCTTATCAACGTTTTATACATTTTGATTTTGTTATTGTGAGATAGAGAATTTCACTTTAGCAGATGTTGAAGGGCATAGTATACATGATATCCAGATTTCCTACGGTTGGGTTTGTGAACTGTATATCCAGAGAATGGCGTGTGGCCTACTGCCGCATTACTGGTGGAGTTGCTAGGGCTACCGTCTGCATCAATTGTCCCAAGAGGGACCGTGATGGACCTTCTGTGTGATTTTCGTTAGCAGAAACGGAGCAACTATTAAGTACCTCTTGTGATATGAAACTGCAGCTTTGATTATCTGATTGATTTTTCTATCTTTCAGGCTGCAGTTCAGAAAGGGAGAAAACGTGAAATAAATAAATAAATCTTCTTCTTTTCTTTTGTTGTCTCACTGGGTTTAGCCCAGTGTCGTGGTTTTCTGTATTTGTCTTGCGCTTCTCATGTGGCTTGGGTGATGGATTTGTTCATATTTTTGAAGGTTTCAGCTACACCATATATCCATCTCTTTCTTGGTCTTCCTGTTACCTTCCTCCAAGATGTTCTGCTGTAAAAAGTCTCGTATGCAATAAATAAATTAAAAAAAACTATTATAACACAAGAGCCTTACCTAGGAGTCCTTCTGTGGAAAATACGGCCACTTGTCTCATTTCGGACACCACAGGGTCAGAGTAGAATAGGTGAATGTAAGCAATGATATACTTTCCTGTCCTGCAAGTAAAGTAAATAGTGAAAGTCGCTTTACACACCAGTAGAGCACTAAGCGTCACACACACTATCTATCTCTTTATGGCTCTCTCATGAAGTGTCTCTATTTATCTCTCTCTCACACACACACACTCTATCTTACACAACCACTCTCACTTTAGATCTCTCTCACACAGACTCTCACGTTATCTCGCTCACTCACTCTCTTTATCTCTCTTTCTCTCACACTCTCTCTCATCCACACACTCTTCCTATGTAAGTATCTCTCTCACACATACACTCTAGCTCTTTGGCATACACTCTTACTTTCTCACTCTCTCTCTCTCTCTCTCTCTCTCTCTCTCTCTCTCTCTCTCTTTCTCTCTCTCTCTCTTACACACTTTCACATACACTCTCACTTTATATTTCTCGCCCACTCACTTTCTCTCTCTCTCTCTCTCTCTCTCTCTCTCTCTCTCTCTCTCTTTCTCTCTTACACATACATTCTCACTTTATATCTCTCTCTTACACAAACTTATTAACACATAATCTCACTTTAATCTCTCTATCTCGCTCTCTTACTCTCGCCCTCTCAATCTCTCCTTATCTCTCTCACACACTCTCTCTCCCATAAACACTTTATCTCCCTCACTCTGTTTTTTATCATATATACTCTTATTTATCTCTCTTTCTCACACTCTCTGTCTTACACAATCTCCTCCAAACAGACTCTCTTTCTTTCTTTCACACACACAAACACACACACACACACACAAACACACACACACACACAAACACACACACACACACACACACAGGCACACAGAACGAGTTGCGACTTCATTTATAGGACTGATGTAAAGCCGTCAGACGCGCAGTAACCAAGAAATCTTGATGGTGTGTGTGTGTGTGTGTTGAAGGGGGGGGGGGGGTGTTGTAATGGCGGGGTGGGGAGGAACTTCGCTACTTATTATTTTCCATAAAGCAGGAAGGAGGCTCCGAAGCCTTGCTTAAGTGCACAGTAGTATAAATAATTAGCACTGTTAATAATATTTGTCGAATGGAGAAAAATACAAGAATAAAGATGCAATATTATAAAATATATAAAACATTTTTTTAAACAGTTTCCTCGAAAATGTCTAGTGGTCGGGCTCACCTCCACCCCCCCCGCCCCAAGAATTATTAGCCCCCCCCCCGCCACCCCACCGCTCATCCCCCGCCCCCTCCCCCCACCGCTCATCCCCCCACCGCTCATCCCCCGCCCCCTCCCCACACCGCTCATCCCCCCCCCCACCGCTCATCCCCCGCCCCCTCCCTCCACTAACCCAACAACACAGAAAAATATCTTAAGGGACCTAAGGAGCTTGAGCCTCCATGTATCGGGCGCATAAGAAAGTTGTTGTATTCAGAACTTACATATTGTGTTCCCTTTTAAGGTCGGCAAAGAACTGAGTTTCTTTGAATGGGGAGGTAGTTACAGACGCCTGGTATGTGGACTGTGTGCAGGGCATAGGGCACTTGCAGACGCCTCTGCCCTTAGTTCCATTCAGATGCCCACCGTAGTATTTCTCTGTAGAAGACAGAAAGATTTGATTCATTACGAACAGCTTGTACAATATAATCAACATAACTGCTGCTGTGTTTCGCTGGAAAAATGAGAATGAATTCTGTTATACCTGTCAAAAACAGATCTAACATGGATACAAGAGGGAAAGAGAAAAAAAAAGGCGGGGGGGGGGGGAACACAACATGGAGACTAACGATAGAAAGTGACCTGAGTGCTGCATCTCTGACATGGAAAACTGCACTGAAGATTGCACAGGACAGGAAGGCATGGAATGTCCTCTCTGGAGCCTCATGTGCCAGTAGTCATAAAGAGAATTGATGATGATTTGCTGGAAAAACAAATCGTCACGTTCAACCAGATTCCCTAAAGGGGAAGTTTTAGATTATAATTGAGACTTGGTTATGTGCGCCATATGAGATGGCTTATCATTACACGCTACTAAGAGCCCTAAAAAGGACCCCTGAAGTGTTTAAGCGATTGAAGGAGACAGACCTAAATACTGTCTCACCGACGACGAAGTCGTCTACGGGCGAGCCAGTAAACATTCACTAGCAACGCTACCTGACACACCTACTTCTTTTGCTACCACACCTGTTACTGTTACTGTTATTATCATCTGGCCCAACATGGGACTCAATCTTTTTGTTTCTTCAAAACCCCACCCATGCTGTCGTAAGGGGCCCTAACTATAACCACACGGTTAAAAGCGGTTTCTAGGACTTGTGCCCGGATTATACTCATCCGAATGATAGCTCTTTGTGCCACCGGTTGTTTGTTGCTAGTTGTGCGGTCCTGGTGGGTGAAACGTCACCAAGTCCCTTCCTCCCCCCACTCATTCACCCACTCACTCACTCACTCACTCACTCATTCACTCACTCACTCACTCACTCACTCACTCACTCACTCACTCACTCACTCACTCACTCACTCACTCACTCACTCACTCACTCACTCACTCACTCACTCACTCACTCACTCACTCACTCACTCACTCACTCACTCACTCACTCACTCACTCACTCACTCACTCACTCACTCACTCACTCACTCACTCACTCACTCACTCACTCACCCACTAATTCACCCACTCATTCACGTATTATTACTGTTACTCTGTTATTTTAAAAAAAACTGCAAATATTATTAACACAATTGTTTTTATTACTATAGCGATTGCGTCTTATACAACATGCTCCGTGCATAATGGCACATCACTTCAGTTTGCAGGTAGTTATCTTTTTTTTTTTTTTCTATAATTTCTGAAGGCAATGCAGGAGTATTGGGAAATGAACAGGCATACAATTTGGCTGGTTCTACATCAACTGGGTGCTGAATTTATGCTGACAAGCTAGAAGGATCAAAAATCTTCGGGAGCAAGTGAACAATGCGGATGCATGAAGGAGGAGGAAGAAAAGGCGGAAGAGGAGGTGGAGAAAAAGAAGAAGAAGAAGCAGAAGAAAAAGACGAAGAAGAAGCAGAAGAAGAAGACGAAGAAGAAGAAGAGAAAGAAGCAGAAGAAGAAGAAGCAGAAGAAGAAGAAGAAGAAGAAGAAGAAGAAGAAGAAGAAGAAGAAGAAGAAGAAGAAGAAGAAGAAGAAGAAGAAGAAGAAGAAGAAGAAGAAGAAGAAGAAGAAGAAGAAGAAGAAGAAGAAGAAGAAGAAGAAGAAGAAGAAGAAGAAGAAGAAGAAGAAGAAGAAGAAGAAGAAGAAGAAGAAGAAGAAGAAGAACAAAGAAGGAATAGGAGAAATATAAGGGGAGGAGAGGAAGAAGCAGAAGAAAAATTAGTGTAAATAGTGTCTGATAAATAGACATTGCACATGTTATCGACTGGCCTATTTCGTTCTTTCTGCTCAGACAAATGACTTCAGTGTTACACCAATATATAATGAAGATCAAAACAGTAACCCAGTCCACTAAAATTTCCAAATCACACTGTCTGTTATTTCACTGCACACCTCGCCATGGCTTTCTGAGATTAACCACACAAACGTTTTAGAAGGAAAACTTACTTTCAGCGTCTCTGTAACAATCTGCTAGATGGTCCATGGCACATATGCTTTCGTTTCCTGCAAGTAGATGGTGGAATCATCTTTAGACTAGTTCGCGTCATTAATGGTAAGTAAGAAGCAAATAGCCATGTAGAAATAAGCCCATATTGTGTTTATAGATTACAAACACAAATATTTGCTAAATTAACATACCAACAGCAGCTACCTTTGCTTCCCAAAACATCTTCAGCTTTCTACTTTAGTCTGGGACCGTATTGGAGCCGAGTTTCATCATCATTGTGATCACCACTGTACTGTTCCAGTTCCGATGGTCCCAGTAATGTCTGATTGTATATCCGTTTCGCCTTCTTCCTGAGTGCGAAGCGTCGGCCCAATCCGCTGGTAACTCCTCGCAGGCGAGAGCGTAACTGCTGCGATACCGCGATTTGACTACTCAGGACGTCAGTCGAGTACGTAGCTGCGGCTATACAGCGATATCAACAGAGACAATATTACACCAACTATTAGCAGACACCTACGACATGACTGACCCATATATCAGACCACAGCTTAGAGAGGCGCACCCACACAACTTGCTAGGACACAAACAATTTATACTAACAACAGTAATGCACCTCGACAACCTATAAATCAGAACTTATATATCACAGCCTAGCTACAGCTAAAACCACCGGTACTTAATCCCGAGACACCACACTCGCTAACTTTGCCATAATCATCCTAGTCATGACATCTCGATGACCCATAACATATCCTAATTTGACTTGACGACTTGACCCACGACTTGCTGTTATTTCTTTAAAAATTAATAACAAGTTATCATCAACTGTCCAAAGTTTTCCCTTTTCTAAAAGAATACGGCTATTGCAGGCAGCTCCAGGATTCAGGGTTCACTTTCCAGGACAGAATGTCTAGTGACCAGGGTCCAGTGTGCAGTGACCAGTGTCCAGGGTCCAGTGTCTCGGGTCCAATGTCTCGGGTCCAGGGTCCAGAGTCCAGACTTAAAAGCTCGCTGTATTATTACTGTTAACTAATTTGGGGATTTCCTTTGGAGATTGAGTGCAAGGAAAAACCAACTGCACACAAATAAGCCAGTAAAACGGATTTACACGCAAAACTCAGACACAAGCACAAAGTCAAAATCCACATGGAAAAACAGCCAGGACTTTCCGCCAGAGCGTACAGGTGGTGAACAACACACACACACACACACACACACACACACACACACACACACACACAATGATACAGTGGCGAGACGTGCATATACAGCTGAGATCACCGCTTGCACATTCCGTTGCCAAGATTTATTATTATTATTACTAATAATATTATTATTATTATTACTCTCTACTTTTTATTACAAATACCCCACTAGGTTTACGTCACTCTGGTCGTGCGCGTAGGCGTACCATTTACTCCCGCAGTGACAATATATAACATCATACTACAACTACCTAGTTGAGTAACTAACAACGATTGCTTGAAAGAAGCTAAAGACGTTAATGAAAGTATATCTCTATATACAACAATAAGAAAGAGACAAACATTGTTCTTTTTTCCACATAATGAGAAGAGAGAACATCGTGACAACTGGAAAGATCAGTGGAAAGAGGGGAAGAGGCAGACCAAGAGAGATTATGTTGGATAGGCTGAAACGATGGCATGGAAGGATATCATAAAGAGAGCTGTTCCAGGCAACCAGGGATCGTGATCTGTGGAGACGCTTGAGCGCCTACACCAGTTGGCAGGTCACATGATGATGATGATGACCTCAACTACCTGTTACAAAACCACTATTTTGTCTGGTCCGAATGTCTTAAGAAAACAAGAAAAAAACCACGCAACAGGAGAGTCCGAGGCCTGAGAGTCTTTGCCCAGGTCTGCCCCTCCCCCAAACTGTTGAGAGGGACCCACCCACTGATGATCGGTAGACTCCTGCAATGCATGCTCCCGCTGTGGAGTTCTTCTTATTATATTCCTCCAACATAGCGAAAAGAGCATACTTTTGGCGTTCACACTGGTTTTACAGGTCTGGCATATTTGTATGCTGGCTGTTTGTTCCTAGCCTCAGGCAGACGCACCTGTAAGTGCTACATGCTTACTGGGAGTTGGGACTGGGGAGGGGGGCAGTGGGTCATTTTTCCCTCCCATAATGGGACCTCGGAATCCAGAGGGAAAATAAATGCAATACGGAGGATCATCATCATCAGGTGCCTTGCCGACTGGCGTGGGCGATCATGCCTCTCCATAATCTGCGATCTCCTGCAGTATGTATCAGTTCGTGTGCCGATACACCTCCATGCCATGCAACAAGACTGTCAAGCATCTTCTCTCGTTGTCTTCCTCTATCCTTTCTTCTACAGATCTTTCCAGTGGTCACAACATGTTCTATTTTCCCTCTTCTCATAGCATGACCGAAAAATGATGACTATCTCTGTCTGATGTCTGTGATAAGTTGTCTTCGGGCTCCCGCCTCTTAAGAAATCTGTAGGATAATATATTTAAAAACGACCCAGATTTAAGTAAGTATGGAAGAATTTGTAAACTCAATGCAAGTCAGAAATGGTCAATGAATTCAAGCACAGCTCACCTGCATGGAGGAAGTGTTTGCATCCACCACAGACCTCCACCACGAAGTTGATGAAACATTCGGCCTCGCAAATTTCCTTGCTGTATTTGCCAAACCGCTTCAGCGGATTCTCAAACGAGGAGGACTTGGTGTCCACACACGAGCCGCTGCCGAAAGCCTTATACGGCGTTGGCAAACCAATTTTCTGAAACACGGTTGAGAAAATGTTAGAAAAAGTAAGATAGGTAATGTGGTCAGCATCACGTCAGCCGCCTTTACTTCTTAGGACTGCACCCGGTACCCACTGAAAGCTGGGTCGACCTGGGAGCCAAGGTCAATTTTGACAAAAGTCCGGCTACGCCAGGGAGCGAACTCACGACCTTCCGATCCGCAGACTCCTAAGTCGACCCAGCCTTGAGTGGGTACCGGGTGCAGTCCTGGGAAGTAAAGGCGACCAGCGTGATGCTGACCACATCAACCATCTTGTGCCGATTCGTCTATAAAATATAGGTCTAGCCCTATATGCCCTTTATGCATGAAGGCGTGGAAAAGGGTCCTTCATTTTTTTTGTAACTTGTTAAATACCATCTGGGTGCTTCTGGGTAAAGATTCGACATCCCATCAGCCAGGATCAGCCTGTATTAGCTCCCGCCTCCCTGCTCAAAATCCAGCGAGGAGTTTCGCTACTGATTGTATTCATTGTCGTCTGGTTTACTACACAACCATCATCTCTATTGGCACCCAGAGTCTGCAGACACTTTTCTCTGCTGTTAAACACTCAAAATAAATGAAGCCTGAATTATCATCGTCGACCGGGTCGCCCACTGACTCGCCGGTGGATGACTTCGTCGCTGGTCAGGACAACATTTGGGTCTGTCGCCTTTGATCGCATCAACACTGCAGGAATCCTTTTTAGAGCTTTTGGTGGCGTGCAATGCTACGCCATCTTATATGGCGCACATAACCTAGTCATAATTATAACCTAAAGCTCCTCCTTCGGGGATATTTGTTGACAGTGACCATTTTTTTTCAAAAACACTTATGATGATGATGAATTGTGAACATTCATAAGAACAGAATTACAAGAGGCTAACAATGCTGGACTGAACTTCCAATCAGAAATCGAGAGAGTTGCATGTAATAGAGCTTAGTGAAGAAATCGAATGAGAGCCCTATGTGGCGTCTAAATGCGCATAAAGGATGATGATGTTGAACGCTGATCACCTACCACAGTTTTGGAGATCTCTACTTCCACTGTGGTGCCACCTGTCACCAGAAACCCACTGGACAGAGGCAGCGGCTCCTCGTCTGGTTCATGCAGAACAGCCTAGCAGATGAGTAAACAACTTTTAGTTAATACAGCTTTGATCAGCAACATCTACCAGCTTCATATACATATGGATTCTTCTTCTTTCTTCTTTATCCCACGGCTGTTAAAGAAAGTAAAATAAAGATCCCTTTTCACGCCTCTAGGTGCATATAGGAAGAGCATACATATTAGTACAAACCGTCTGCACTAGGTGGGTAATGTGGTCAGCCGTCTTTGCTTCCCCAGGACAACTATCATGGTACCCATTTTATGCTGGGTCGACCTGCGATACGCCGTGCCATGATCAAAATCCACGCAGCCAGCAGTGGGTTTCAATCGCGGTACGTTGGAATTACGAGTCAGACTCGCAATGCCTAAGCCATAGACGTCGCTTCCACCGGCTGTAAGCTCCAGCGAAAAGTCCTGGTTGTTCGTCCACTTGGACTTGGACTTTATGCCAGGGCCTGATGCATCCCGACTTCGAAGGAAGTCCCCAATTAGTTGACTCCTACAACATGCTTGGTGGGCAGGCAGTGGATTTATTCTTGCTTTCCCCACAATGAGGTCCCGGAACCCACACGGGGAACAGACGGATTTATTGGTGGAGGTGGAACATAAATTCTTCGTGCTATACAGAGCCAGGTACATTCTTGAGTGGGTACCAGTGACAGTCCTGGGAAGTAAAGGCAGCCGACGTGATGCTGACCACATCACCCACCAAAGTGCCGATTGGTCTATAAAATATAAAAGACTAACCCTATATGCAAGGATTTGAAGTTTGAGGTTGAGAACAACGGATCAACATCATGGCACACGGGCAGTAACCGTGCTCCGTTCTTCTTCTAACTCAAGTCTGAGTCCGAAGAAGCTCAGCACAGTGCACAGGCTCTGTTGCATTGGCAAGGATCCTAAAATACTTTAGGAAGATTTTGTAAAACTCTAAATTTTGTCCGGGCAGCGCCGTTAGGGCTGCTCTTTTGGATTTCCAACTGCAAGGGATTTTTACGTGCGCAACAATGCAAACAGGCGTCCGGTCTCACTACCCAGAGACCAGGGGGAATTACTAGTCCACGTGAAAAAATCCCAGCCCTTACCGGGGATTAAACCCGGTACCTCAAGCACTCGAGGGTGACACCATGCCTCGAAACCACGCAGTCCCCTCCCATTATATGCCCAATACGCCTGAAGGTGTGAACAAAAAAAAAAAAAAAAAAGTATTTACTTACCTTACCTTAGTATAGAACCAGGTTTAACATTTGGCTGTGAATCATGGACGATTAATTAACAGACCAACTATTTTCATAAAGTGTGGTTTGATAGAAAAATGCTTAACATTTCTCGGACTGGGAGTCACTGTGGCAGAGCGGCTAGACGCTCGACGCTAATCGGAGGGTCGTGGGTTAGATCCCTGGTGGAGCCGGTCTTTTTTCACAAATGACCTTGGCTCCCAGGTCGACCCAGCCTGGAGTGGGTACCGGATGCAGTCCCGGGAAGTAAAGATGATCAACGTAATGCTGACCACATTACCCATCTTGTGCCGATTGGTCTATAAAATATAGGTCTAGCCCTATATGCCCTATACGCCTAAAGGTGTGGAAAAGGGTCATTTACTTGACTTTCTCGTGCTGCCAAACTGAGTAACCTGGATTTCTCAAAGAGACAACGGCCCAATGACATCTTATCACAGACTTCAGAAGGAGCCAATCATCATTGCTTGGTCATGTTATGGGAAGCAGGAAACTAGAACATGTTGTGACCACTGGAAAGATGTGTGGAAAAAGAAGTAGAGAAAGACAGCACGAGAAGACTTGATAGCCTATTGTCGTGGCATAGATGGATGCCAGCACATTTACGCAGTGAATTTAGGTTGTGAAGAGGTATGATCGCCTTTGCCAGTCGGCAAGACGTTGTTGATGATGATGATGATTCATTAGGGCACTATGAAAACAAAGTATTGGCCTTCTGTTCGGTTCACAGTATCAGAGGTCTAAATGTGGTTCAATCCTGTTGGTATTTAGGGATCAACCCAATCTCTTATTATGTGCACCAGAAAACGCCCATACACCAATATGTCCCGATAATTGATGTTGCTCTCTAAGTGATTGCATGAGCATGTGCAAGAAGATAGAGGCAGGATGGATTCGAAGAAAGTGGTTGGGGTCATTGAGGAAATCTCGTCTTAAAGGTATTAGTTTTATTTTAGTGCCAGGACACTCTGGGATGAGAGGGAATGAACGAGCGGATAGGCTTGCTGGCTGGGCCCCGGTAGGCATAGGAAGAGTAATGGGCCGGGCCGACAATGCACTCAAGGAGGCAAGACAAGAACAGACGACGTTGAACCAGTAAAACTGAAAAGACTACGAGAACTTCAGTTCAGAAGAGGTGTTGCCAAACATGACCACTATGCAAGTAGATAAAGAAGAATAGTAAGTCAACACAGAACTGGTGTTATCATTCGCCGCGCGCTGAGGGATGTACCTAAGATGAGATCCCAGAGCTTATGGTTTTGTCCGATATGGAGTGAGGATAACCTGTCAATTACCTAATTAACTAGTTGATCTCTTGTTTGTGTACATGTTTTTAATGCGTTACAACGTTAAGCCGTTTGCGTCACATCCCATTTGCAATCGATTTCTTCGTCTCCTAACACCTGTCAATATTATCTTTAGAACCAGTGAGGTCACCCTGGCCTCTTTCGTCGGCGTTCGTCCGTTTCTCTAAGAGAGCCTCGCTTCACCAGTCCTTGTGTTTTCCCATTTCAGTGCCTGGTTTTCTGTCATCCATACCCAGTTCGGTGGGGATTTCAGTTTGCTACGTAACCATGTGTTCCAAATCACGACCGGCTCCAGCTGACGTCACCGAGTCGGGCTAATGATGCATTAACACAGCGGTTCTTAAACTGGGTGCCGAGGCACCCTAAGGTGCCGCGAGCGTATACCAGGGGTTGTCACGGAAATAATCAAGAAAAGTCGGCTAAAAATTGTGAAATTATTAGAGAAGGCATGTAGATACTTAAAAGTTACAATTTAAGTTGTCTCCCCTCGCCCCTGTCGAGAATAGTTTATTTCTTGTTTGAGAACCGCTGCGTTAACGCATCGTTAGCCTGACCCGGTGACGTCAGCAGCATGGCCCGTCAACTGGAGCCGGTCGTGCCCAAATATAGATCTTTTATAGGTGGAAAGGGCTTTCCCGGTTGTGTACCTGATTTTCATCAATAAGGCGTTAATCGTACAGACTGTAATTCGGTTGTTAGACACTTTTAGTGAGTCTCAGCAAATTAAAAATAAATTATGAATGAGAGAGTGAGTAAGAAAGAAATAGAAGAGGAGAGGAGACAGACAGACAGACAAATACGCACACACAAAGACACGTCATTAGGAGAGAGAGAGAAACAGAGAGAGAGAGAGAGAGAGAGAGAGAGAGAGAAACAGAGAAAGAGAAACAGAGAGAGAGAGAGAGAGAGAGAAACAGAGAGAGAGAGAGAGAGAAGGGGGGGGGGAAGGGGGGGGGGAGGATTCTCCGTGACAGAAATCCAACTGACCTTAAATCCCTGATACTTAAAGATCCTGTTGGGTATCTCAACATCACTGACATCAACATACAGAGTCAGTCCTCTTAGCGCGTTGCCAATAGCGGGAAGAGAATCATCATCGCTTGTTTCATTTAAAGATCTGTAATTTTTGAAGACATTTTAAGAGAATTTGCCATGATAATAATCAGCAAAAGGGTTACTTAATGCATCTAACATAATCCTACTATCGGCAACACAATTAGAGAGGAAATCCTTTTCTTCATCTTCTTCTTTCGTTCGCTTGAAATAGATTATCTATATCGGCAATGTTGTATCTAGTATGAAGTCTGTCTTTTGTACCTATAGCGCTTGTGCGTGGCATCCTGATTTCTACGGTGCGCCTCCTGGCTAGTTGCCCCCGACTTCAGCACCTGTTTTTAATTATTCTGGTGAGCTAAACTGACGTACTGGCAGATGGGAATTCCAGAGATATTTGACTAAAAGCTCCAAAAAAATGAGGAAGCAGAAAAGCGTGAACAAAACAACACAACGTAACGTTTCGACCGGGCGGCCTTTTTCAAACAAAAGTAAACTACACAAACGTAACAACGAGGAGATGAGAGTATGCAGATCTCTAAGGGGTGACATGAGCAACGTTTAAAAAAATGTGATGTGGAATAAATGAAATAAAATAAAATAAACGATGGTTAAAAAATATAGTCACACACAAAAATAAATAAATAACCAGTAGTATTGTCAATATAGAATATAATACTGGGAATAAAAGAAATACAAATGGAACCGAACTGTCCCCCCTGACATGTGTGTGCGAATGTAAATAGGACTATGGCATCATATAAATCCTATTATAAACTATTTGAGAAGTCTTGCGATGAATATGTAGACCCATCAAAGATGCAGACAGCAGGCAAATGAAGAGTGAGGAGCAACAACAATTGAAGACATCCAAAGGAAAGTAACCCTTTGGTTTATACTTATGAAGGAACTCACATGAACAAGCTGGATGCAGATGCTAACACTAAGAGCAGTATACAGACGATATTGTTTTAGTATCCATAAGCCATGAGTTGTTAACCCTTAGACTCGGTGTTATGGACATCGCAACCTTTCGGCCTTGATTCCATTGTAAATACCGTAAATCTGGGAGAAAATGTGGCTTTCCTGTCTACCCCCGGGATTGAACCCGGACCACAAGGAGTTCGTCACCCGAGCGTTGTGGATAAACTTTGCTAGGGAATATATATATATATATATATATATATATATATATATATATATATATATATATATATATATATATATATATATATATATATAGAGAGAGAGAGAGAGAGAGAGAGTGCCAGGAGATAGAGAGACAAAAACTTACTTTACTTTACTTAGTCGCTCCTCTTCTACCTTGGGGTGTAGAGGTTTGCCAGAGAGATCGCCAGACGTCTCTATCAGCAGTTTTCTTTCTGGCTTTGTTCCATTCCAGTCCTCTGTCAGTCAGGGACTGTCGGATGTTGTCTTCCCAGCGCACCCTGGGTCGTCCCGGAGGTCTGGTTCCCTGGTTCTTAGCCTCCCATGCTTGCCATGGTGGCCGATTTTCTCCCATTCTGCACACATGTCCAAACCATCGTAACTGTGACTGATCCACTCGGGTTAGTAAGGGCTGGGTATCAAGATCTTGACGTATTGTCTGATTGCGGACTTTGTCCCTTCTTGTCACTTGGACCACCTTTCTCAGGTATCTCATTTCCGAGGCCTGCAGCTGGCTTCTGTGAGCTGTTGTCATTGCCCATGACTCACACCCATAGGTCAGGACTGGTACATAGGTAGAGCGGTAAACAGCCATTTTCGTCCTCTTGCCAATTTCTCTTTTGCTAAGAAACCCTCGGTTTATGGCCTGGAAGAGTCTCCCAGCAGCTGCTTTTCGTGTAGCCAGCTCAGTCTTAATGCCTCCATTTTGGTCTAATACAACTCCAAGGTATTTGAACTGGTTAACCTGCTCCAACGCATACTGACCCATCATGATCTGGTGTTTCTTCTCCTCTCTTGAGATCACCATGGTTTTAGTTTTGGAGACACTGATGGTCATCCCTTTCTTTTCAAGCTCTTCCTTCCAGACAAGTAAGTTGTACTGAAGGTGTGCCTCTGATTTAGCTATCAGGGCCACATCGTCTGCAAAAGCCAGCTCTGATATACAGATTGGTCTCATCTTCCAGTACCCTACAGAGTACTTCTTTGTCTTCTCCTTACAGGTCTTGATGACATCATCCATCATAAGAATGAAGAGGTAAGGTGAGAGAATATCACCTTGTCTAACACCGCTGGTGGTCTTAAATTCTTCTGACTTTTGGTCTGCTGTTCTTACATAATTTCTGCACTTTTTGTAGAAACTCTGTATTGCACTGATCAGGGGTGCTGGGATGTTTTTCCCTGCCAAGCAGTCCCAGAGCTTGTTCCAGGGTACCTTGTCAAATGCCTTTTCCAGATCCAAAAAAACATAAGTGAATCTCACTCTTATATTCCAGGGCTTTTTCACTCATCTGTCTCAGTGTGAAGATAAGGTCTTGAGTACTTCGGTTTGCTCTGAAGCCGCACTGGGCCTCGTCCAGCTGTGGCTCTACCAGACTTCTAAGTCTCTGCTCAAGAATTCTAGAGTAACTTTTACCGGGAATGCTGAGGAGGGATATGCCTCTGTGGTTTTCACATTGTCTGTTATCACCTTTTTTAAATATAGGTATAATTATGGCAATCTCCCAATCTTTTGGTATAGTTTTGCTACACCAGGCTGCCTGGAGAACCTTCAGTAGAAGGCGCTCACCTTCGACTCCCATATATTTGACCATCTCTGGTGTTATACCATCATGACCTGCTGCTTTTCCCAGCTTAATCTTCTCAATAGCTGCCTTCAATTCTTCCATCCTGATGTTATCTTCCACATGATTGAATTCCTTCTCAGCAGTGAGGTCCATTATTTCTGGGTCATGACTTCCCTCAGCGCCGAGGAGCTCTGAGAAGTATTCTTTCCATCTGCCCATGATATCATTTGTAGAAGTAAGCAGAGCCCCTTCCTTGTCTTTTATGAATTTAAGTGGGCACTCTTTCTCCTTCCTCATGTTCTTAAGGGTCTTGTAGAACAGTTTTTGGTTTTCTCTTGCATTCTTTTCCAACTTTTCTCCAAACTCTTCCCATGATTTCTGTTTTGCTTTAAGCACAATATTTTTGGTCTCTGTTCTGAGTGCCACATATTGTTTATATTTTTCTATTTCTTCAGCTGTGTTCCTGGCTGCCAGGTATTGCTTCCATGCCCTTCTCTTTTCTCCTATTTTCAATTTGACTTCTTCTGTCCACCAAGGTGTCCTGTGTCCCCGCCTTCCACTTGGGACTTCACCACATGCTTCTACTGCAGCTGCTGTGAGGATATTCTTGAATCTGCACCAGAGGGTTTCAGTGTCCTCTGATGGTTCTTCTTCAGTTCCTATTGCTTTCACTATAAGCTCCTGGTATCTAGCCTTAATATCTGGCTCTCTTAGCTTGTATGCTTTAATCCTCATCCCTTCTTGGTTGCTTTGTTTCTTGCATAGTTGTCGGTGTTGCCTTGTTGGAGCAGTTCTTTCAGTTGTTCTCTTTATTGTGACCAGATAGTGGTCACTTCCAATCTCTGGTCCTCTCATGACTCTGGCATCTATCACAAACTTGAATGAACTTTTCCTAACTATGGCGTAGTCAATGATGGATTTTTCATTCTTTGAAGGTTCACATCTTGTGTATGCATGTATACGCTTGTGGGGGAATTTCGTGTTTGTAATGACAAGGTTCTGTTCCCTGCAGAATCTGAGAAGTCGCTTGCCATTATCATTCAAAACATCTTCACCATATCTCCCGATCACTCCACCCCATCTAGAGATCTAAATGCCAGAGTAGGAAATGATCACTCTAGATGATCACTCTAGAGACAAAAACTGCGTATATAAAAGAGTCGAATGAGAGAAGATCACGAGGCAGACCGAGAAGGCATTGGATAGACTTTAAAAAAAATTGTTAGTTGCGTATCCTTTAAAAAACATTGCAAAACAAACCAAGCAGTTTTGTGTGTATTTTTATTTTTGTTTTTATTTTTGCTGTTGTTGTTTTTCTTGGGAAATGTTACGTTCAGTGGTTTGCTATTGCTTGCTGAACTGTCAGGTCTCAGTGCCACTTACCAAACCAATGCAAGACAAACGGTCTGCATCTGGCATCTATCCCAGCATGCCGGCATTACGAAGCGCGTTCGCAACAACTAAGCGACAAACGCCGTCGTTGGATAGATCATATACAGTTAAACCTGCTCACACCCGGAGTCACTAACTAGAAAGATACGGCTTGTATTGTATCGTTTAAACATACTCGAAAAACAAAAACTTTGGGTAATTAACAATCTAAAAAAGCCACCACAATGAACGAAGAGATTTAAGCAACAAGTTTCTCATATCTTGGACACGTAAAAAGAGATGACGGCAGAAGTGAAATTGAAATCACAAAAAGAAAATAGGAATAGCCAAAATTAACCTTAAAACGTTAGAAAGTTATTGCCAACTGGAAAGATGGTCAGTTGCAAAAAGCAGAAGAACAAGTTTTGAGGTTTGAACAACGGATCAACATCATGGCACATTGGTAGTAACCCATAAGTGCTACGTTTTACGTCTAACTCAAGTCTGAGTCCGACACAGTGTACAGGTTCTGTAGCACCGGCGAAGATCCTGAAATACTTTGGGTAGATTTTGAACTCCAAATTTTGCCCGTTGGCAGCGCCGTTAGGCTACTTTTTTCGATTAAACACGGCCAATGGATTTTTTTAAGTGCGCAACAATATACACGGACGTCCGATCCCACTATGCAGAGATCATGGGGAATTGCTAGGAGTCCAAGTCTATGAGAAAATAATCTCAACCCTTACCGGTGATTGAACCCGGAACCTCTAGCACTCGAAATGGACACAATGCATCGAGACCACGCAGCTCCCTTATGCACAAGGGAAATGAAAACACGATTGGAGTAGATGGCCTTAGAGACCTACAGGGAAGGATTAATCACAACATTAAAAGAAAAGGAATGAGGATATACAAGGCCCCTCTTCTACGTCTTTCGGGCGTATTGGGTAAATAGGGCTGGACACATAATTTATAGACCAACGGCATTTGGTGGGTGATGTGGTCAGCATTACGCCGGCCGCCTTTACTACCCAGGACTGTACTTGGTACAGTTTCAAGGTTGGGTTGACCTGGGAGCCAAGGTCATTTTTCCTGCCCTTGACAAGAACAGAACCCTTGACCTTCCAAACCGCAGCCGAGCGTCTAGCCGCTAGACAACTGCGGCTCCCATTTTAAATCTTACAACAAAATAATGGTATCCAAGATCACTTTAAACATCTATAAAGATAGACTATACAAGATAATTACTATTGCAATTATTGGCTGGATCCGCTATCTCTACCGACGGTCAGCCTATGGATCATTCTGATATCATTAATACCTTCAGAAAAATGAGAAGGATAGAGGACTTTGGGGAAAGTGAATCCACATCACTCGCTAGAATGGCAGACTTAGGAAGTAAGATCGGCATAGCAAAAAATAAGACGCACACCAGACGACTTGTTAATGAACATAGAACTGGTACTATTAGCCATCGGACGATGGGGTTCATACTGAGGGGGGGGGGGGATCTGAGCACCTATGGACGTGTCCGGAGTGCAATGATGATAACCCAACTAACTAACTAACTAACTAACTAACTAACTAACTAACTAACTAACTAACTAACTAACTAACTAACTAACTAACTAACTAACTAACTAACTAACTAACTAACTAACTTACTTACTAACTAACTTACTACCTAACTAACTTACTACCTAACTAACTTACTAACTAACTTACTACCTAACTAACTAACTAACTAACTAACTAACTAACTAACTAACTAACTAACTAACTAACTAACTAACTAACTAACTAACTAACTAACTAACTAACTAACTAACTAACTAACTAACTAACTAACTAACTAACTAACTAACTAACTAACTAACTAACTAACTAACTAACTAACTAGCTAACTAACTAACTAACTAACTTACTTACTAGCTAACTAACTAACTAACTAACTTACTAACTAACTAACTAACTAACTAACTAACTAACTAACTAACTAACTAACTAACTAACTAACTAACTAACTAACTAACTAACTAACTAACTAACTAACTAACTAACTAACTAACTAACTAACTAACTAACTAACTAACTAACTAACTAACTAACTAACTAACTAACTAACTAACTAACTAACTAACTAACTAAATAACTAAATTACTAAGTTTGTTGGAAAGTACATTGAAAACATATTGAATGTGACAGTCTAAACTCCTAAAATAGTATACAAGCTATACATAAGTTATGCGATATAACCAAACATAACTGGTCGGCATAAACTTGCATTACTGAAATATCTCGCGCGCTCTCTCTCTCTTTCTCACACACACATACACACGCGTGCGTGTACACACATACACAAGTCTATATATCTCAATTACAACCCGGATGGGTATAACAGGATATTTTGGGTTAATTGCTACTTTAAACAGGAAAGATTTAAAAAACAAAAACATTAAACACGAGAAACGTCAAATGTTATGTATACTCAACATAAACTTAGACAATGAATAAGCAATTAGAAAATCAAACTGGGTCTCTGGAAATGGGCATATACAGAAGAATAGGTCGTATTTCATGTAAACAAAAACTTTCAAATTCAGAGGTTATGAAAATGCGAATTAAAAGAGAATTACTGGAAGAAATGAAAGAAAGACAAGTGAATTTTTTTAGCCACATTAAAAGACATAATTGGGATTTTAAAAGTCACACTAGAAGGAAATGTTGATGTAGGAAAGCAATATGTAGACAGCGATACAAGTAGCAGGACAGATCAAGAGATGGGCAAAAGCAGTCTGAGAGAGTGTACAACATAGACAAGAGGCAGAGAATGTTGGAGATCCATTGCAGCCAACCTGCATTGTGCAGAAGGCACCTGATTGAACTGTAAATGGCAAAGACAAATAGAGGCAAGATGTAATTGCAGCGTGAACCTCAAGGGCTCGGAACACTGCCATTAAATAACATAAAATCAGTTTCAAAGTCTAACAACAGATATTGGCCGCAATGACTCACTTTTCTCTGGCCAGTTTGCGGACATCGACAGTGAAACAGACGCCCATTTCTGTAACCCGGGGCGTTGCCGCTAGGCACGGAGTCCAGTAGTGGTCACCCCAGGAACAGGTCATGGGACTTCTGGAGATTAACCTCAGTGTCCTGTTGATCAGCTTCTGGATAAGCAAATCAGAGGACTGGTTTTTCACTGGCTGCCTATTTAAAAAGAAAGAAAAAGCACAATTTTTTTGCCTCTCCTGTTTTTGTTATAAATTCTGAACACACGATGAAAAGGTTACAATGCATTTCGAATGCTTTACACCACATCCAACCTCTCATTACTGCGATTCATGAAAGCAACGGCTATAAATCTGTTTAGTCCAGAATTATGTTGACAAAAGGACACTGTCGTGAACCTGCAGGTACCCTGGTGAATAAAGCATTTACTTGTGAATAGAGTCAATTCTGTTTCATTTAGAAGGATAATTCGTTTATCTGCCTCATTTACTGTAGTATGCACCTTACAAGATACAGCGAAATATTTCAGGGAATTAACTGTAGAATCTAGTCTGTGTGTGTCTTCTTTGTTGAAATACAATCCTGGGTTAACTGCTAATGAAGCTTGCTTGCGAATGGTTATCGCTTGGTGGGGGCGCCCCATAGCCTAAGTGTACACAGAAATGTGAACGTCGATTGTTTTACACGTCACCGCAGCTTGGACTATCACACATTGGCCAAGAAAGTGCATGCTTCTTTCCACCTGTCAAGCAGACTGTTGCACTAGTAACGGGAAATTTGTCCTTGTCGAATGGCTGACCTGCTTTTCATTCTTGTGCCGGGTCATGCGGGTGTTCTAGACAACTAGCGTGCAGATGTTCCTGCAGACACTGCTGTTGCAATGGCTGGTCCTATACTGGACAGAAGCGACGTTATCAATGCATTGAGCAGCACGTATTGTAAATACGAAGAGGACTGAGGACTTGACTCCGTATCCCTGCCTAGACAGATGGATACTAGGATGAAACTGTTAGCGGTCAGAAATGAACATTTCCACAAGGGTACAATACGTTTGATTAATCAACTCAGAACAGGCGTCACCTGTCGTTTTATGCTAGTGGAGCTTTTGAGAAGGCCTATGGACCGGCCCTAAGTGCTGTGAAGATAATCCTCACTAATCGCGATGTTGACGAATGCTCTGGAATTAGTAAGTTAAACAAGTAAAGAAGGGGAAGGGGACGAGGGCTCAACAGCCTAAAGGATTGAGGCCACAAGGCTAGTGCAGTGGCCACAGACTGATTTGGTTTAGATTTTACTTTTCTATCAAACAAAAAAAACAAAAAAAAACAAAAAAAAAACAAAAAAACCGAAAAGAATCTTTTTCAGGATCGAATCCTGGTTTCTTGCATTACTATTGATATACACCACTTCTAGTCCTTTTTAGGATGAAATATTTCGTTATTTGAAGCCCTACTCTGGCTTTTGCCAGGTGCCGCAATATAGCCCGGCCAGAAATATGGCCCAAAGGCTGAACGCGCTTTTTGGGACCTCTCCACGGTGATCCTCATCCACATAGTGGCACTCTGTGTCATCGGGTGTTTATCGCTTGTGTGATGTCCTGGTGGGGTAGAAAATCAGTCAGTTTCTTGCATGCTAGTGCAGTGCTCTAGCTATTCGGCCACTGTTACTAATAAATTTCAAACGTTCATCAACTGGTACCTGCGAAAAATAAAGTGACTTAAATTTTATGACAGGATCACTAATGTTGAGCTTTTGGAAAGAATGAAACAAGTTTCAGTGGACCAAGGTGTAAAGACAGAATGCTGACTGAAACGCGTGAAGAAAACCCGAGAACAATCGCTTAGTTGCGTATCCCTTACAGGACGTTGCAGAACCAACCCCAGCAGCCCTCAGCTGTTGTGTGGTTTCTCTAGGCAAATTTGCGTCCAGTAGTTTGCCATTGCTTTTCGAACAGTCGGCTCCCTGAAACCACTGTCGAAACAAACGCAAGGCGCATAGCCTGTAGCTGGGATCCAACCAGGCACCCCGGCATTACGAAGCCACAGAACCGACTCCGAGAACAATATAACTAGAATATCTCTGCAATGAAACAATATAGGCATATAAATACACTTAGCACAAAAAGACAGAGAAGGAAGCCAGATCAGTGTTTCTCAAACTTTTCTTAGTCGCGGCGCTTTTTTTTTTTTTTTTAAATAAAAAATTTTCCACAGCGCCTTAACCTTAGTAAAAGTAGGACTATTCGTTTGTAAGAGATAACAAAAAATAAAAATAAAACGCGTGTATCTTCGAATATTTCGTGGCGCCCCTGTGAAGAGATCGCGGCTCCCCGGGGCGCCGCGGCGCACAGTTTGGGAATTACTGAGCTAGAGGAAAAAAAAGTTAAAAACTATTAGTTGGACATGAGGGTTTAAACTGTATGCAGTAGCGCAGGATGGAACTACTTAGTTGGATGACGGCCTATGCTCCATTGGGAGATAGAGGCAGAAGAGGAGGAAGTGCTAGACACATATATTATACACACATTGACACCCAATGAATGATGTGTGTCAACATTATGCATGGTTCCTTTGCTTCCTAGAGGTCTCTACTGAAGGATGTGTTAAAATTAAGCCGCGTTAGCGCAGTCTGTAGGAGACTCGCTTTCAAATCCAACTGCGACTCGCTGAAGCCAACGGTTGGTGTTCGAAACCGGGCGGTTCCTGGGGTTCACCCAGCCTCTAGGTAATGGGTACCCACTCTATGGTAAATGGAGGAACGTCGCTGTAGCTACTGCCCTGCGTGCAGAGGGCGACACAGGCGGACAGTTTCTTATCAGCTGTCCGTACTGGTGGCAGAGCACTTATGGTTTATAACCGTGTGCAATGACGCTGGTTCACAAACGTGTGCAATGACGCTGGTTCACATCTCCCGACTTTACCTTTACCTTTTTTATAATGGGGGAAATAATGTTCTTAGTGCCTGATTTCAACCTGGTAGCGGCGATGTCATGGGCAACTGTCTCCCCTGTTGACACACAAGCAGATACCCAGAAGTACTAAAGTGAATCTTATCAGAACTATTTTTTGACCAACACTATGCTATCAGTGCAAAACGTGGACACTTATATCCTCCAATGAACGTAAAATTGTGACAACAGAGACGAAATGCCTTAGAAGAGCTGTTTCAAGGAGAGACAAGATATAAAATCACGAAATCAGACGAATAAAGCCAGCCTTACATGTCATCAAAGAACAACAAATGAAGTGGTTTGTACACTGAACAAGAATGCTGTGGTACTATCTGCCACAGCGAGTCACACTAAAACGTTACAACGGGTATAGAGCAGGTGGAAGACCTCAGAAAATATGGAGTGATGGCATTAGGAACAGTCTTACATAAGTCCTATTAGTGCTCTTGACAGAACTCATTAACGAACGTTAGATCTCTTCCCCCCCCCCCCCACCGACACTTTGATGAGGTACAAGGTGGAAGAGAAGAAGAAGAGGCGATGGCACTGCTAAGGGGGAGGGGGGTATGAAAGGGGGGTATTGTCGTGTTGAACTCACTCGACTTTGTCGAAAAGCTCTTCGAAGAATCTGTGGTAGAAGCCCGTGATCTCTGTCAATCTGGTCAGGTGGAAAGTCGTGTAGTTGTCGAGGTATTTTCTCACAAACTTCCCGTCGAAGTAGTTCAGGTCGCAGAAGGTCACCGCCGGGAAGTCGTTCTCTCCGACGTATCGGACATCCACGCTGATTGGAAAGTGAAGACAATTAGACACAAAGTCATTCTAGATGATGAAGATGATGATGACAATGATGATGACGACGACTACGATGATGATGATGATGATAACGATGATGATGATGACGACGATGACGACGATAATGATGATGCTGACGATGATGATGATGACGACGATGATGATGATGCTGACGATAATGATGATGACGATAATGATGATGATGACGATGATGATGAGGAGGACGATGATGATGATGCTGACGATGATCATGATGATGACGACGATAATCATGATGATGACGATGATGATGATGACGACGATAATGATAATGCTGACGATGATGATGATGATGACGACGATGATTATGACAATGATGAAAATGGTGATGATGACGACAACGACGATGATAAGGAAGACAATGATAATGATGATGAAAACCCTAACTTTCACCCGCACCTGGTACCCACTCAAGGCTGGGTAGGAGCCAATGCCATAAAAAAAAAAAAAAAGAGTCCGGTTTCATAATTACATTGGGACACCGTAAAACGGTTTATTAACTCATTCAAACATAAGTTTGAGCGCCAAGAAACATATTATAAACAGTATATTCATACCAACAGTGTGCTACCAGTGCTAGACTGGGACATTATCAAAGGCTAACTTACGTAAGATTAACACCTGTAAAATAGGATGCATGAGAAAAGTCGTCAGCCTAACCATCCGAGAGAAAGTTAGAAATTATATTATCAGACTGCAAGAGCAACACCACGCAGCAAATTCAATGAGAAACACAAGATCGAATGGTTTGGTCATGTAGTAAAGTCCAGTGTGGGTGGGTTTTTGTGACATGGGTTTTTAGATCGTTTCGTGTCTTTTTTATACTGTATTTTTTTTCTCCCTCTTCCTTTCTTCTCTCCCTCTCCTCCTCCCTTCTCTCTCTCTCTCTCTCTCTCTCTCTCTCTCTCTCTCTCTCTCTCTCTCTTTCTCTTTCTCTCTCTATTTGTCATTTCCAGCATCAGTATGTTCCTCACCTCACGTTATCTAGAATTTGCTAGTTCTCTCAAGCTACACATTAGTGATTCTGTCCTACCATTGTCATTTTTTGAGTTCTGCTTAGGTACCATTTAATGAACATTTGCAATAGATTTTGATCAGTGATTTTTCTGCCACATGACAATGTTTATGCGTTTATTCAGTGTCAGAATGATTTCCATAATGTCAGTTCGCAACTCAGCTTAACCTTTACCTCAACAAAATTGCATAATTATTTTTGTGCACTAAAATGAACAAGGATCAGGGATGCAGGGTTGTAGATGTCCGATCTCTCTCGCAGTCGAGCAACACCAACTGTTCTGTCTCGAGAGCTAGGTCTAGCCCCATGAGTACTTGTACTTATAGGGTGAAAGCGGCACACTTAGGTAATATATAATTTTGCTGTTTAGGATGCTACTTTTCGTTATTTGAAGCCCTACTCTAACTCATCCCAGGGGCCGCAATATAGCCTGGCAATAAATATGGCCAATGGCTGAACGCGGCTTCTGGGACTTCTCCACGGTGATCCTCATCCACATGGTGGCACATTGTGTCATCTTGTGTTTATCTCTTGTGTGATGTCCTGGTGGGGTAGAAAGTCAGTCACACTTAGGTTGCACGTTCTTTTATCAGAAAACCCTTTCTATAGTCAAGACCGTTGTGCGTGACCGAAGAGGCACAAAAAACAACGGACCTAGAGCAGCAAACCTCGATAAAAAATCCCAAATCTACGGTAGACTTACGTGCCTGTGGGCTGAATGACTGTGGGTTATACAGTCGTGAACGTGGAACGTCTGGTTGGTGGGTGGGGCGGCGCGAGGCGTACGGACTCCGTCTTCCCTAGCAAGCAGGCAATACTAGGGTGACCGTTTACTTCCTGCACTGAAAGTTTATTTTTTATGGATTTTATATTAAATAATACAAAGAATAATCGCCGGAGCCTCGGAGGGCGTACTCTGTGCTTGATACCATCTTCAGATGGCAACGGAGAGAGTGGGAGGAGGAGAAAACTAGGATATGGAGAGGGGAGAAGGAATAGAAAAAGGAGAGCCGGAGCCCGGAGAGTCAGGCGAAAAACGAAGCGTCTGGGATTAAAGTTAATTAGAGTGGGTTACTGGAACTGTCGTAGTGCAAAGCAGAGACTCATCATGTGGATGCAGTTGCAGTGATATGCCAAAAAGGACTCAGTGCTCTCAAGATTATGGCAGCAATGGACATGGAACAAAGGATGTTGTTTACAATGTTCCAGCATGTGATCCTCTCTGTGATATATTATGTGGACTTGGAATGCTTACCGTATCACAGAGTCAGCTGATGAAACTTGAACGCATACAGAATGAAGCCATGCGGGTGATTCTAGGATGTACAAGAGATACCCTGTAAGTATGTATGCGATAAATACTTGCACTGCCAACTATAGATAGGCTCAAAGTACTGCAAGAAAAGTCATGTCTCAGAGTAGCTGCGGACAAGAGGCACCTCCTGCATGAAGCCCTGGATAGAGCTAAGGGTCACAGACTGAAAAGAGGAAAGTCTTGGATGGCGCAAGCTGAAGACATAATTAAATATGTGGGCAGGCTTGATAAATTTAGGCGAGGAGAGGAGTGGGTCGCAGTGTCCGATAATGTTTCAGATTTGTGTAGGGTTCTAATCACTTTCGGACGTGAGTGCAGGGACTGGCCAGCTGGTGCTGCAGAATCAGAAGTTCAACAAATGATTCATGACAATTCCCGCCCAAGTGATGTGTTGTATATACAGATGGCTCTGTGGTGAGGGGCAGACGAAGTGCATGGGGGTTCATAGCGAAGGCGAATGGAGGTCACTTGGCGCAACAAAGCCTGACATGTGATATCACAACGTCTAGATTGAGAATGGAGGTGGAGGCAGTCACTGCTGTCTTCCGTTGGCTTGAGAATAAGCTGTACACACATGTCGTCATTGTAACTGACTCACAGAGCATGCTGAGAAAGGTAGATTCTTTTGATTTCCAACTGCCAAGGGATGTTTTTACGTGCGCAACAATGCACACGGGCGCCTGATCTTACAACCCAAAGACCAGGGGGAATTACTAGAAGTCCAAGTCCACGTAAAAATGGCAACCCTTACCGTGGATTGAACCCGGAACTTCTAGCACTTGAGGCAGACACAATGCCTCGAGACCACGCAGCCTGCTTTAAGGAACATTCAATACTGTTAAAAGTTATTCTTTAAAAAAAGTTATTCTCTAAAGAAGTTATTCTTTAAAAAATGTTATTCTTTTAAAAAGTTTTTCTTTAAAAAAGTTCTTCTTTAAAAAAGTTAGTTGTATGTCTGTTACAGGACAGTGCTACACCAACCCCAGCACTTTATAGATGTTTATAATTTCACTAGGCAATTTTACGATCAGCATTTTCTCATTGGGAGTCGCCGTGGCGTTGGCGGCTAGACGCCCGCCTGCGGATCGGAAGGTCGTGGGTTGGCGTCATGACGGAACCGCACTTTGTTTAGTGACTTTGACTCCCAGATCGACCTAGCCTTGAGTGGGTACCAGGTGCAGTCCTGGGAAGTAAAGGTGACCGGCGTGATGCTGACCACATCACCCACCAAGTGTCGATTGGTCTATAAAAAATATAGGTCTAGTCCTATATTCTTAATACGCCTAAAGGAGTGAAAAAGATGCAATTGTTGAAACAGCGCAAGGCGATCAGCTGCTAAATCGCCCGCTACTGGTGTCGAACACGACATGATTGAACTACGGAGCCAGTTGGTAAAGCCTAAACATGCATGCAAGTTGTACCCCAGCAGGACACCCCACAAGGCGATAAACACTCGGTGACACAAAGTGCCACCATGCGGATGAGGATCACTCGTGGAGAGATTTCAGAAACCCCCGCTCAGCCGTTAGGCCACATTTATGTCCCGGTTATATGTAGGGCCCCCTGCAAAAGCCATGATGAAGCTTCGAATAACGAAAAATTGCATCCCACATGGGAGCGTTTGATATTTCTGGTAACCCCTAAACCACAGTCGCCCACTTAAAGACTATGAAGGACGTAAAAGCAAAAGACACATACTTAGTCCGAGCAAAGTATTTCAAGTGCGAGGAGAAGTGAAGGAAATGGACTAAATGGACAGGATTGAAATACGTCAGACTAAACCAATAATAGCGCCAGACATTGTCGCGACAACTAGTGTTACGGATGTAATCTGGTACATGGTAAATGGTCTGATGGGATCTGCGCGTTAAAGCAAATAAAGATTCCATTAGCTCGTTACTATCAGCGACCGGGTCGCCCATAGGCTCGCCGGTTCACGACTTACGGATATTTAGGTCTGTCTTCTTTGATCGATGAACACTACAGAAGTCCTCTTCAGGGTTCTTAGTGGTGTACAACGCTAAGATATTTGATATGGCGCACATAACCTGGTCACAATTATAATCTGAAACTCCCCTCTTCGGGGATGCTGGTTGAGCGTGACTTTTTGTTCTTGAGCAAAGCTACTATCTACCATTAGCTCGTTCCTGAGGCACGTAAAGTAAAAAAAAAAAAAAAACTAATTTGGGGAGGGGGGAGGGAAAAGGGGGGGGGGGGGGGGGGGGGAGAGGAGGATAGGGAGAGAAAATAGAGAATGCTGCGAATAACACCCATTAATAAATGCTATAACAGACACAAAAAAGAACTTGCGTTATGAGAGCCTGATTTAGAAACTTTGATAATCTAAGCTTTTAGAGTCTACTAGCAAGACATCGATCCGGCTGCTTCGAGATACTAAGCTAAGTGGTTTTGTGTATTTGTGTAGTATTGTTTGATTTATGTATGTGCCGATGAAGGCTCCATAGCCGCAACGTTCACATTTTGTTTGTATTTGTTATACTGGGAAGCTTGCTGATATTCTTTTCTTTCGGTTTTAAATTTTGTCTAAGCTTTTAAAAGATTTTGCCCCTCCCCCAGCCCATCCAGAGCCGTCTTAACAACATATTGCGCCCCTGGGCAA